ACAGGAATTATGGTGCCATACTAAATAACCCTCAGGGCCCCTTTCTTATCCTTCTTGGAAGGGGATCCCATTAGTATATTGAAATGGGTGGGATGATTTCTCATATTAGTAGACCTAGTATTGGTCAGATCCTCTTATTACTGAATCATGTTGTTTTCATCATTTAAGTACAGCCTTAGCTTCTTTGTATAAAGTGAGATGACCTAAACCTGTATAGGAGACTAGTGTATTTTTGTGTTCATTGTCACTTTTGCTACCTTTGCTGCAGGTTCCAAAGCTTCTGCTGCATAGAATGGTTCCAAATGCTCGATATTCTATATGGCTTGATGGAAAGCTTGAGCTTGTTGTTGATCCATATCAAATTCTTGAAAGGTTTGTTTCAGTTTTTATTGTCATTATTATAATGTCTCTATTACATTCTATGAAAATCAATGCTGTCTTTTTTATATAGTGGCTTCATTACTTTCTACAGTTTGAGGATCGCAAAATCATGTCATTTAGCCCTCAATTCTGTCTCTGATCTTTATTTGATAGTCTATCATATCATTCGCTGGTCCATTTGATTCTGATTTTATTAAATATGGCGTCTAACTTCTGCACAATTACTATCTTTATTTTTTAGACAAGATGTCATTTCAACATCCTAAGCACTTTGGTATCGTCCATTGTACGGTTCGTCTGCTAATTACTTGAAGAACAACTTTTCAACTTAGTCACCATATAAGCATTCGTATGACTGCTGGTTAGACATCAAATGTATTTTGTAGATTGTAGGCTATTGGTTCAGGCGTCATGATCTCAACTTCTCTTAAATTAGGAATAGCCACAACAGTATTTAGACATTTCTTGAAGGTGAGGCTTCATCTGCATTAGCGTCACATTTCTTTTGTTATGAAGTGCTAGAGTAGATATATAATGAAATTCCTGGCTCACCTTGTAATTTGACTTTGGACGGCTTCTCTGGTTGCATGATTTATTCTTCACTTTAATACTATCGGATTTCGTTCACTTGGCAATTGATTTTGCTATATTCTGTTTTCCAAGGTGGAACAATTCGTTTCATCATGAACAAGACCTTGCTTGAAATTAAGCATGTATTGTTATTGTTAATGCATGCGCGCGCACACCCACATATATGTGCGTAAGTATGCTGTTAGAGTGTTCCCCTGGATGTAATTATGGCTTCGACTTCCTGCCTATGGAGCTAGATCATCGCAGGAAATTGTTTGTAGGCATTCAAGAGTGAAGCTGCTGGACTTGTGCTTTTTTTTTTTCTCTTGCTTTGTGCGGCCAGAACATAGGTGACCTATTCATGCGTTAATCAGTTCTTTGTCTCTTATCTAGGTTTTTGTGGAGGAAAAATGCTACATTTGCAATATCTAAACATTATAGACGCTTTGATGTATTTGTTGAGGCTGAGGCAAATAAAGCTGCTGGAAAGTATGACAATGCCTCTATCGACTTTCAGATTGAGTTTTATAAGAAGGAGGGATTGACCCCGTATACGGAGGCTAAGCTTCCCATTATAAGTGGTAAGTCAAATTTTCTTCCTCTATGGAATGGTAATATAATATGCACCTGTTTCTTTTTCTATATTTTTAATTTTCGTGAATCTTGATGGCTGAATTGCAGATGTTCCTGAAGGATGTGTTATAGTAAAAGAGCATGTTCCTATTAGTAACCTGTTTACCTGTCTTTGGTTCAATGAAGTTGACCGATTTACTTCAAGGGACCAGATTAGTTTCTCTACTGTCAGGGACAAACTTCTGTCGAAGGTGGACTTTCATGTTAACATGTTCTTGGACTGTGAAAGACGCAACTTTGTAGTTCAGGTAATTATTTCACCTGGCTTGCATCAAATTTGTCAGAGCAAAAACAAAACTGTCAATTCTGTTGTTTTTAGCGGAATCTATCCTCTTGCTTTTTATGGCAGTCTGTATTATAAAATATAGTAAATATATCCTATGGGAGGTTCTTGCTATGTTGCAAGGAGAAAACATTCGGAAAATCAATATTAGGAATGCAATATCTGTGTGTGTGTGTGTGTGTTTATTTCCATTTCAGTTATCAACTGATGTAAGATGGATGATTGTGGTTTCAATGTTAGCTTATCCTTTCAAATATTGGACGTTACTGTTTTTTTCCTTCGATTCCTTTTAATGTTTCAAGCATTTTACTTGCCCACTGAAATATTGTTGGGATATCTTTAGCGTCTCAAATTCATGTACCTTTTATTATTGAAATCCTTTGTTGCTTACAGAAATATCATAGGGACCTCCTGGAACGCCTGGCTCCACCTGCTTCTATTACTCTCTCTCCACCACCTCCACCCAATTCGCCACCCCTGTTACCTGTGCTTGTAAGTCCTCCTGCTAGGAGAGGCCCTGGAAGACGTGGGAGAGATAGAAGATCAGGTTCTAGGCGCCACCGCAAAGTTGCTGTTGGTAGCAGAGACAACGATGCAACGAGTTGAAGAAAGTTTTGTTTGGCCTGGTATATTATTAATATTCTTTTGCACCAGAGAGAATGATTCATTGCGGACCTGGAGGAACATTGTGAAGACGAGTATAACCCAGTTTCCACGCGAACACTTCGTTCTTTCCAGTTTCTACTTTTGTGGAATTGTTCATCTTTATTCAATTTATTTGGTTGTATATATAGTAAAATTTTCAAATAATTATAATATGGGCTGTCACCAAGTCTCTCTCACATGTGGCCGCCCATTTTGTTTCATTTTTCATTATTATAACCAAAGGGTGATGGCTCTACATTCTTATTTAATCTTTTTTTTTATATAAATATTATTACTATATTGAGTCTTATCCCATCATGTGAGGTTAGTTGTGTGGATTACATTATAGGTCTCGTTTCAAGTATTGGTTGTCCTAAACCCTAAATGATGCCACTCTTTGACGCTACATTTTTTTTTTAATCACAGATTCTTTTTTTTTTTTTTGCCCCAAAGCGATGCCATCACCTTGGTATGAACCCAATTGAAGAGTTTAGTGCAATAAACAATGCAATTTTTTGGCATTGTTTTGTGAATCGGGCAGAGATATAAGTCATGATGCCCGAATCAGGCATTGTCTTGCAAATTGGAAGAAGTATGGATATATGTAATATTTTTAATATGATATGACGTATCAAACATAACATATTTTAAGATAAGGGATGCGTAGCGGAAAAAAAGAGGTTTTCTATCATTTTTTAAATTGAACTAAAATGTTTTGAAAATAAACTACTGATGATAAAAGCATTAGAATATCTTAATTACATTGTTGGATACATATAGATTATTATTATTATTATTTTCCAAAATGTTGGTGCAATGTAGTATAATGGGAGATCTCATTGATCATGATTGACAATTTACGACATATTTTGGATAGAAATAAATGTTTTATGAAATGATAACAAGCTGGTGAAAGAATTTGAACAATGTTTCGATGAGATCGGTCATAATGGAAAGTCTTTGAATATAAGAAATATCAGGCGAAGGATGTGAACATAAAAAATATTAGCTTTGGTTTTTAATATAAGAGTTAATTGATTAATTTGAATAGATTAAAAAAATTAGTTAAGTTAGTTATTTATAATAGATAGATGTTGTATTTCTTAAATTTTCCTTGTTAGTCAAACATATTAATTAGAACTATTATTATTATTATTATAAAGATTACTTTAAAAATAAATAAATAAATATAAAAAACAAAATAAACTGATATTTTATATTTAAAAATAAAATAAAAATTAAACGAGTTTTATACTTAGTACAGGAGGTAGTATAAACTATACAAGTAAAAAATATATTTTAGATGTAGAAGAATTTAGGAAAAATTAATTTGGCGGTCATTCTAGTTTTATTCAATTTTAAATTAGGTTCTTGTAGTTTTTTTTTTTTTCCATCCTTATTGTTTATTAGTTTTTTATGACAGTCCTTCTGTTTATAATCCGTAAAACTGCCGTTACTTTTAGTTAAGAGAGCTGACGTGGCATTAATTAAATTTTGACTCAGCATCGAACACCGCCTGCTTCAGCTTCCCTCTCTCCCCCCCTCTCCCTCACCGTCTCCCTCTTAGTTGCACTAATCCCACAAACTGTAAGAGCAGACTCAAGCAAACTCAATGTGACATTTGGCAACATAGGAAGAGCCTTGCTTCCCAACATATGATCAGCCTCCACTATCAAACTCTGAAACCTTACTTCCACCCTCAGAAATCTGTTTCCCGCCCCGCAATTTTCATCAGAAAACCAAAACTTTCGGGAAGATAAAATCTGAGTTAAGACAATAAACATTCATAATAATATAATGATAAGTAAGAAGGGAGAGATTTGGAGGATGATGGAGCAGAGTTTTCAAGTCTGTCTCTGAACTTTCAGAGGTACTTCTCATCCTCGGCGACTTTGAAGATTCTGTTGATGATTTGTTGTCTCTCATTCATGTCGAGCTTTTGAACATCGACTTCCTCGTGCATGACCTAATTGCCACCTTGATCTTGGTCGCCATGAGTTTGGAAGATGAGATAATGGGGTTGGCTTGGAAAGAGACGAATGGAGGAAGGGGAGAGAGAAGCAAAGGGAACAGGTGTTGCAAATGAGGAGGGCGGTGCTTAGTCAAAATTGAACCAGTGCCACATCAACCCACTTAACTTAAAGATGACTACAGTTTCGCGGATGATAAACAGAAGGACGGTCTTAAAAAAATTAACGAACAATAAGGGTGAAATGAAAAGAAAAAAAACTTTAAAAACCTGATTTAATATTTGGTAAAATTATAGGGAGTGCCAAATTAATGTTTCGAAGAATTTATTATGAATGCACAAATCTGAAAACGGACACACCGAAGCTGAGTTGAGTGAGTCCCAGTCAACAATCAGAATGTGTCGGCGATGGCGGACAGATAACACGTGTCACAATCGTAGGCAACTGTTCCATGCATGTTGCAGGGTAGGCCCCACTAAATCCCTATCTTGAATCTCTCACTCACTCTCGTCATGGGAAATCAGACCTGGAATCTTTTCCCAAATTTCACCCCCAAAATACACTCCCAAAACAGATTTACAAGAAGATAAACCTCCTAGCATCTATCCGTCTCGTCCTCTTCTTCCCAAATCGTGCAGTGAGAGGGTTAGGGTTTTATTGCGGACTGGATCATGTCAAACCTGTAAAGCGTCCGCTGTTCGCCGCTGCAGCCACCTTTCGATTAAATGGCATCGTCGCCTGCGTTTTTCGTGATTTGCATCTTGCACTCTCTGATAGCTATGACCTCCGGGGCCTTGATGATGTTCTACATGAAGGAGGTGTACACATTTGGGCATGGGGTGCAGACAGCGACGAAGCTATTGGGATCGACTCCCCATGACCAGCTATTGATCAAAACCTCCGATTCGTTTTCCGGGTTGCTGCTCGTCGCTATCGGGTTCCTTCTCTTCATGGTTTCCTTCGTCAAGGACAGAGATTTTCAGGTATTTTTCGCCAAAGGCTGTACAGTTCTTCATGTGTTCATGGCTATGTGGAGGATTTACTTCGAAAGGAAGGTGGAGGATCTCGCCTGGGACTGGCTCAGGCAGACTGTTGGAGATATTCTGTTGGCCCTGTCGTGGGTTTTCTTTCTTGTTTATTCTTGGAGAGAGAAGTATGATTAGCGTTGGCTCCCAATCCTATTTTTGCTCATCGGTATAATTCCCAGCTTCAAATTAAATCTTGTAAAAGTTGAATTTCTGATAATTTTATCTCGGGGTGGTCTGGAATTTTATTTTGGCTGTGAATGACTTCCCCATTTCACTTGTGGAGAAAACAGAGGAATGGAGCGTATTCAATAAATTCTACATCTCTGTCTGCAAAAATTCTCCTTGCTAAAACATTTTTATGTCAATACATGAATATTGTTTTCTCAGAATACTAAGCTTTCAAAGAGAGTTTTTTTGGATTTGTGGACCAGGCACGGAATCAATTTCTATGATAATTTCCGTGCTGGCAACGGTGTTCCGATGGTTTACTTCATGGTTGTGATTTCAAGTCTATTAAAATGGTTTATTGATGAATACTTGGTGAAAGTCGAAGTTGGCTGTGTGTCAAGGTTGAAAAAGTTGACCAGGTAAGAAATCCGCAATTGCATGTTTCTTCTTTTCGTGGATTATGTGCACATCAATTTAATTTCTGAGTTGTTTATGTAAAATTTAGGATTACAGAATCACCTGTTTATTTCTTTTTAAAGGATTTTTGCACTCTTTAGACTGAGGTGATGTTTTCTTCACCTAGCGCCATCAACGCTGAATTGCTATGATTTATGGTATTTCTTGACCTATGCTGTGGGAGTGGAAACAGCATATTTGTTTGGCTTTTCTCTTGGTAGCACTAGATTTTTTCTGCATTGTGATTTAAGTGACTTTAGCATAAGCTACAAGATTAACACGAAAATAATAACACTAGGACCCATAAAATTGTCTCCAAATTTATACTTGAACATTAAGCGGTTCCATATAGACCTGCGCTTTGCCCGGTCGCCCTGAGATTTTTCAGTAAAAACTCGTGGATTTAAAACTCATGTTGATTTATGATTCGAGGAGCATCCTTACGCACCTATTGATTCGCTTGCGTGACTTCTACTTATTTCAGTTTGTGGTCAACTATAATATTGATATGGTATCCGGCACAAAGCTATGATTTACATTTTTTTCCATAGTAAGAGTAATTGTCACAAATTTAAATTTTAGACTGTTGTTTGACGTCTCTCTTCTAGTGGTCCCTGATTCTAAGCTTGATATGAACCGATATAATGAACTTCCAGCTGCATATCTGTTTCTAAATTCTGATATAATATCTCCATTCAAAATCTGTGGAATGCGTTATGTGTATATCTCAAGTTCCTCATGCGTGAGCATGCTGATGTTAACCACTGCTAGGAATTTTGTTGCTTAGAATAAACTATGCAATGATGTTAGGAGGTATCTGTGGGTCTATGACCATCTGTAAAATCAAGATTCTTTTTCTTGGGTTTAACACTAGTGGCGGACAAGTTGGAACAGAACTGCTGAAGGGGTAATAACCATGTGCTAATGCAATCTTCATAATGGTGGTTAGTGGGGAGATAAGATAAGATCATTGGCTGACAAGGTCGGACAAACGGATTGCATTTTAATTATCATGAAGTCCAAGATTAAACAAATATTTTGTGGCTTGGAGCTCTGTTATCAGAGGAAATTACATGCTTTGTAGTGCTCTGTATTTATAGTTCGCATGAGTAGGGACTGGACCAACTTATTTACGCTGGACGTAGCCGTCAGATGCACAAGGATGCTGGACAACTTAGTTGTGTTTGTTAATGCTTCGTATTGATGTAGCTAGTAGACTGGAAAACCTGCCAGGCCGTCCCACTATTAGACAGGGAAGGTCAACTAATTTGCATGCAGTACTTGCCAGGAGTGAATTCAGTCTCAATACACTGTTCTGTTTATTGCAGTCTCGCGGGCCATTGCATATATTTCTTTGTGCATCACATGGGGATGCCTCACGGTGAGTGACAAGTACAAGGGTTCTTTGAAAACCTGCACAACCTATTCAGTGACCAGACGACAATTTGCTTATTGAGAAAGACTTTTCTGATCTCCCTATATAGATGATATATAGCATCAAAAGATTTTGGAGGAATATAGAATGCCTGCGTTAGCTAGATGAACATATTTCTGTTCGAAGGTCGCACTTCCTCAGACACAATTATCCATTCTTTACCAGGGTATATGATGATCTAGGATTTACCATAGAATCCCGGCTTTACCAGGGTAGACGATAATCTTGACATAGCTCTCCGCATCGAAGCAATCATTGTCCTGTATGAGTAATGATGACTTTTTCGGACCAGAGAAGTAATAATGACTTTGCTTCTGTTTCAAGTCAGAAGGCTGGTTAAGATGTCTCAAAAGTACGAGGTACTATGACTTTGATGACGATCCCATCATGCTCGTTGGTCAGACATCAAGAATTCAATATGGCCTTTAATTTGTTCTTTCAGAGCTGATTCTGCTGGATCATAGATAATGGCACCCTGCGTGCTTGCAGGTTTTGAAACCTATTGGAGTCGAAATAGAAGAAGCTGGTTAAGCTCGCTACTCTTTTTTTAAATACTTGATAGAGCCTGACACAAAACAGAGAGCTGCACAAGAGAGTTCTTTTGGTTTAGTGTAACGTTTACTGTTATAATTACTGTAGCCTTTCGATGCTCAGAGGCTTGATGTAAGTGTTGGAAGATCAGTTTCATTTCGCAAGAGAAACAATTACATTGTTTGAGTATATTTTGTTTCGCTTAAATTGGGTATATTTTGTCTCGCTTAAATCGAACATATTGTTTTCCGTACTTGTTCCGTAGACAATGTCTTTATATGTCTATGTTTGCCAGTTTGTCCCCATATTCCATATCTTGGTCGGATTAAGATACAGCCCATTTAGCTCATACGATAAAAAAGATGGCCTATTCTGATATTGCATATAGGATTGAATATGAGCAAATGTAATTAGTGTGTTATCTACAAGTCTAGATTCAAGTCATATCGATCTTTGATCAGAAGTTTTCCTGATGCTAAGAAAAATCTGTTACTGCTGAGGAAAATTTAGCAAAAAACGCCAGTTGTGCTCGTGATAGTACGGCAGTAGATATTTAAAGTTTACGTGATTAATGTTAATTGACCAAACATTACCAATACCAACAAGCTAATTATGTATTGCTGATCAAGTTATTGATTAAACCGAGGATGGAAACTTGCAGACATCACGATAAATAAGCAGTGCCAAAATATTAGTACGTTCGCCGTTACAATTCACACGTTGATTACCGCACTGATGAGATGATATACACTAACGTCTATTTTGAAAATAATGCTGTGTGAAAAAAATCAATATTACAAGCTAAATTATCAAGTCATTCAATAATTGAGCCTCATACACAAAAATTTTGTAATTTGGCCGCAATGTCAGAATCAGGCCTAGTTAACGTGATAAAGCAAGAACTGCAAACTCTAGCCTCCCAGAAAAATCAGCAGGTGAAAGGTAAGGTGATGGAGATACACTACCCACATAACAAGGTTGGAATAAGAGAAATGAATAAAACAAGATTAAAATAATAGGATTACAGCACAACGAGGGTGGATCTATAATCTCTAACCGAAGAAACTCGACAAAAATCATACTCGGACAATATCCTGAAGGCAATCATAGAAGTGAGATAGCTCAATCTTCTCTTTGCCAGAATAGATTGCTTCTGCAGATCCACCATGTTCACCTTGGGCTGCCATCTCAATCAACGTATATAGCTTCTTGATAGGCATCTAAAAAAAAGGAATTTTGGGGCGAGATCATGAGAAACAAGGGAGCATAAAAATATCCATATGCAATAAATGCCTTTTGGTGACCACTGATATCCGACGGAATTCGCAATGCAAAAGTGGTGAACCAAGCAATTTAACCGACTGCCTAGCGTCTACTACCAAGTAGAGAATGCTAGATTTTTGGGGGAAAAGGGAAAGGAAAAAGAAAGCAACCATGAAATGCAAGGTATAGCAAAACATAGAATCAGAGTCGGAAGCCTTAACAGTTTATTCTACAGGATAAAGGATGTAGGTATGCAGGAACAGTTACAGAAGACAAACTCTCCGTATAAAATTATTGTTCTTCATCTTGATGAGTGGTGAAAAATTAGCACGATAAAATTAAACCAATGGAGCACCCCCAATGGGAAGATAAAACTCACATCATTCAAGGCCTCCGCAGCATCATCAATATCGCCCTCAGCAAAGACATTCAACTGTCTTAGAACCTGATATTAAAAGAAAAAAGAAGAAGATAAGTCTGCTGGTGTCAATAAAACATATATGCAAGGAAACAAGAGAAAGGAGTTATTCTAAGGCTCCAGACTTGTAAGAAACCAGAAATGATGAACTAGTCCGCTCTTGGCTTAGTCTAGGGGACTGGGGCTATGTTAGGGAGGCGTGAAAGTTATTTTTTGGGTTATGTTGTCTTTGTGGCTTACAGAGAGTATTGGGACTTCTTTTGAGTTTGGTAAGGGAGAGTCCCTAGCCTCTCGAAAGCCAGAGAAGGTTCATTGTTTTTTGTTGATCCTTTTGTTCAGTGTTTAGTCTTTATGTCCTGTACTTGTTGCTGTTTAGACTTTAGAGTATCTTTTTGAGTTGTAGAGGGGGAATAGGGTTTTGGCCAGAATCAGTGAAGCCACTTGTAACTCCGATTCGGTTTCTGGGGTATCAATGTCAAAACGTGGGGATTTCCCTCGTTTATATCTGCTGTTGTTCTCTTTTCTGCCTTATTTAGTGACTACTACCTCTAGTCCTAAATACAAGGGCTAGTTGGTGGTCCTAAATATAAGAACCCAATCCACTTTGTCTTCCAAATTTATAATCTGTTCTTAAAAATATCTCCATTAATTGTAAGGTATTTTCATCCAAGTGTAGTTTCAATATATATGATTGAATAAGGGTAATTTAAGAAAGTCAACACACATTTGTTACAAATAACTAACTTAACTAATTTCTTTAATCTCCCCAAATTAGTTATCTAACTCTTATATTAAGGACCGGAGGTAGTATTTAGCAGGGTTATATCAGAAGCTTAATATTTTGTTGAAAATAGATAGATGATTTGGGTAATTTACATGATTTGTTTTAATTTGTAAGATTTACATTTATAAGCAACATTTTAGCATTAAATAGAAGATACAAACTAAGTCGTATTTGTATTTGGTATGAACATGAAGTTATTCTTCCATACACAATGCTAAAAGCACTCGAAAATCTACACTTGAATGCTCCACCTCTATTATTGTTGAGACTTTGTTAGCCAAAGATAATACGGCAATGTTAAAGAACAAAAAGTCTACCTTCTTCACATCATTTGTGTTCAATGTAGGGACGTGGTAAGTGACAGAGAAAGTATCGCAGAATCCAATTGAGTCCAGGAAAATCAGTTGACTTGTTGTACCAATAACCAGCAACTTTTTCCCCTGTCCACATGAATTAAAACATACATTAATAACAATAACCGTCGGGCAACATTAACAAATTACTATTGTCATCCATTGTTTGTGTGTGTGTGAGAGAGAGAGAAAGAGAGATAGAGAGCCCAAGAAAGACATTTGAAACTTCTGTTACATGGTTATCTCAGGACTTAGTCCTCATATTTGATTTTCATTTGGTGATTCTCATTTTTGACCATGAGGAGATGAACTATGTACAGAAAGAAGAATCATCACGGTTTACAGCTTTGCATTAAGTATGATGATGACCAGAACAATATTAACGATCTAAAGGCACAAATTCAACATGGCAAAACCCAGCTCCGAGCAGCTAACACAAAATATTTGAGTTCGAGAAGAAAAGAACCAAAGATAACAACCAGCCAACTGTCATCTTAATACTTGGAGTTAGCATTGGCATTTGACAACTTAGAAAACAGTTTATGTCTTGAAGTCGGTTGAAAAGTGATGAAAACATAGTAACAAAGTGGGAAAGAGAAAAGGATCAGGTTTCCAACAACGAAATCACAAGAGCAGGCTGAAACCAATGGACCTCTATCCAATCCAGGTGAGCCTGAGCTCATTCCAGGTACTTTTGCTTTAGAACGTTAGTGAACAGATATGCTTAAAAAATAAGCTCGTAGGGAAACCTTGAGAGGAGCGAAACTAATGAAACATATGGCAGCCCATAAGAAAAGATCAGATAGAAACCTTTGGAGGAAGCCGTTTTAGCAGGACTAGTAATGTCTGAGAAATCAAATTTGAAAACCGCGGACCAATAGCCACATACTCCAATAATCTGCATCGATATTAAACAAGAAAATAATGTTACATGTTAAAGAATTTATTGCCAAGGAATACAAAATAAAAATTACAAATTTTACCTCTCAATGTCATCAAGAATAATAACGCTCAATGGTGACTTGTATGCATCCTCAAAAACCTGTTAAAAAAACCAGAATGTAAAGGGCCTTGGGATTCACATAATCAGGCAACAAGCTAGGAGATAACGCTAAACCATCATTTCTGCACCACAGTTTATGAACTAAAAATGGCTAAAGATATGATAAAAATCTAGAAGTTACACACGGTATAACTTGCATTGAAGCCTCACTTTTGAAGCCAGTGACTAATTCTTTAGAGATTATGTAATCCACAATAGGATTAATAGAAAAACTCAAATTTTTTATTATGACTAACCTTGATAATCTGTGCACATTTAGTGCTTTCATGGAGACCAATCATTGATTCAGCTGAAACCTACACAATCGCAGAAATTAAAATAAAAAGGTCAAGATCCTATAAATTACAGAAGTAAATGCTGGAATTTACAATAAACAACAAGAGAGCTTACAATCTTGACATATGGGAAATCGCTGTCAATGCCAACAGTAGCTGCAAGTGCTGTTTTACCACTGTAACAAACAAAGTAGTTTAAGAAACTAGCTGTTTATGAGATCAAATGAAGATGGAAACTCACATACCTGCCACTAGGGCCTTCCAGAAGACAAGTAATAATTGGGCTTCCTTTACTCACTTTAACTTGCTCCACAAGTAGCATAGCTCTTTGGTAAATGTGCCTATGTCTATCACCACAATCCACCATGCCACCAAGCCTATAAATTTAAAAAAGGAAGAAACATAGAAAGTTAATTGGGCTATGTATTGTTCTGGATTCCCAAGCTTCCATTTTTGAAAATTAAACAGCTATTTATCAATATCAGCCTATAATTGACAATGTAACAGCCAAGTTGCAACAGTATCGGTAGCAGACCATACAAGGGCTTCATAAACTAAATCTGCAAGAATCTCTCGGGTCATCACTCTACATGATGTTCCACGTTCAAAGAAGAGAGGTTGTGGACAATCACTTATATAACTTGAAAGTTGTGAACTGGGGTTCTCTTGCTCTATATTTGTAAGAGAAAACAGAGCTGAGTTGCTATGACGATGGTGTAAAGTGAAACAGAAATAATGGCATATTTTCTGGCTAGTATGAGGTGGTAAAGATCGAAATAATAAGTTTTAGGAGTGAATTCCAAAGAGTTTGTAGATGTAGGCATTTCATAAATTTCATATGCCCCAAGATGTAAGATGCATTTAATCCCAGGAATTACATGATCATAATAATTATAATTATTATTTATTTTTTGTGGTTCCTCAAGCCGTTCTTTTATGGAAATCTGGAAAAATTATACCTATTAAGAATGAAAATATGGACTAGTTTTCTAATAATTAAAAAAAAAATGAGGCAGGGAGCTAGGAGGCCTAACGAACCTTGTCTCCTCTCAGCCGTATACTCAACTCTAAGAAGAGATATTGATAGGTATTGCTGCCAAGAGGTTTTAATAAATTGTCAAAGAACAACGGAGATATGTTACCCATCTTTTAAGAGATTTACCAGGTCATTAAGTCATACTGCACAAAGTACTAAAGTAAGAGTGCCTAGAAACTTCTTTCCCAAAAAATGTCTTCAATAATAACTTTTAAGAAGCAAGTTTTCAGAATAGTTAACTGGAAAAACAACTCGAATCAGCTCAATTTGTCCATAGCTGAAAATCTCAAATCCCATAATCAAAAGCACTACCTGCATCTTTCAAGATCATCAGTTGAAGCTCCAAATGCAGGAACAACTTCTTGAAGTGCATTCAAAAAATCGTCCATTGTAACCTTGATATTCTCTTCCTCCACTGGCTTGGTGAGATCATCTAGACTAAGTTGCCTGTTTAAAGCAAATGATACTGCACTCTTCACAACACCTTCAAGTTCTGCACCACTGTAGTTTTTGGTTCGAGCAGCTGCACAAGAGCAGAAGAAGAAAACCCCCACGTAAACCACCATGATCTCCATAAATTTACCAATGTGAACCAAATAAGAGTTCTCTCCCTCTTTGGCGAAATTATCAGTATATAACTTGACATTAGCAGTTTTAAATTTTGTTTCCTCAGCATTTAATAATTTATAATTCATTATGCTAGTATGCTACCAACATAAACCATCGTTGTGTCATATCTCCCTTCAAAAGGGAATCATATTTTTACATCACAGCACTGAAACCATTAGTGAAAAAACGCTTTGGTGAGCAAATAATCAAGCACGACCTAAAGTTGTTCAATTTATGCAGCAAAGAATCACATTTTGAAGAATCAAAATGCACTTGTGCTTTACACGTATCTTTGCAGAGACATTGGGAAGCTGTCTGTCAAACTCTAAAAACTAGATAACCAAGTAATCTTAACTTGATATTTAGACTTTAAAATTTGTTTCTTCAATGATTCTATTTTAAGTCAAAACAACCCTTTGAAAAAGTTAACTTCTGTACAATCAATTATATTTAGATAAAAGATTTCCTTATTGTATGCCTCCCCACTCTTTCTAAATTATTTGAACTTTTAAAAAAGGTCAATCAAGATTTTACAAACAATATTGATGTTAAGACCATTTGAAAAAATAAACCAAAATTCAACAAAATGTTTCGCTAATGTAACTACGATGTGGAAGAATACAAATTTATAATTAACATTAAAAAAAGAAGTAGAAATAGAGATAAAGACTTGTGTCTCAAAAAACACAAACCAAGCTCTTGAAGATTCACATCAGGAGATAAAAAAGAATTGTCCTTCATCTTGTTAGTGTGAATCTGAAGAATCTGCAGTCGGCCATTTTCATCAGGAAGGCTTATCTCAACTTGGACTTCTAGTCGCCCAGGCCTACAATACAAATCATTGATGATTGACTATATGGTAAGCATCACATTCATACATAGTATATGAGTTGATTATTTATTATTTTAACTTGGCATGAAAAGTTTTTGCAAAATTTTGGAGCAGAGAACGAAGATAGAGAGACCTCAAAAGAGCTTCATCCAGCATGTCTTTTCTGTTGGTCATTCCAATAAGCAAAACATTATTCAGAGACTCCACACCATCTATCTGCAAACCAAGTGGATAAATTCAGCTACTTAATGAAGAATGACATGTATTTATCTCAAGAAAGGATTCATGATCTTTACTGACCTTGGTGAGAAGTTGATTCACAATGCTGTCATGAACTCCTGTGCCATCTCGAGTTGAACCTCTTGACTGAAAAATATATGCAGAGGAAGTATGTTTTATTGTTTTGAGCAGCAGACAATTCAATCATAACATAACTTCATTAATGTTTGTCAGTGAATCACTTGGAGAACTAAATGCAGATTTTCAAGGTCCCGGAATGAAATGTTACCACCATATTCCAATAATCAAATTTACGCACGAGCAAATGAAAAGAAATGTTCTAGTGATAGCTTAATTGATGTTGATCAATAGCTGAGAAATCTTATACCTTGCAAATAGCATCAATTTCATCAAAAATTATAACATGCAATTCACTTTCATCCCCTACAAATTAAAAACAGTGACTGAGATCAGTGGAATATCCGAAATCTGAAGTAGGAAAAACATATAATGTGTCTATATCACTTACCTAGAGTCTTCTGATCCCTTTCAGCATCAGCAAAGAGGTCCCTTACATTCTTCTCAGTTTCACCAACAAATTTACTCAAGACTTCCGGACCATTTACAATCTTCAGGTCATACAAAATGTAAATTTAATCAAGAAGTCGGACAAATAGAGCAGGAGCTACCACATTAATGGTATAGATACAAGTAATGAACAGAGATTTTCTGTCTCTATCTAATATTGACTGCATACATAATATTTCATATAGAATTGCATTCCACTTCATTATAAAAGTACATGGAGTAATTCCCAAACCTTTGGCTCCTTCCCATTCAAAATTTTTCCAATTTGACGTGCCATAAGAGTTTTCCCAGTACCAGGAGGTCCATAAAGCAGCATGCCCTTCACATGCTTGATCCCTAGTCTGGAATTTCAAAGGCTTCCAAGTAAGAAAATTCTATATCATGAAGGTAGCAGATTAAGTAGGTTGAAGTAGAATATCTATGATTTATTACTTAGAAGTCACATGGGGAGGGAAAACACGAGATGCAAAAGCTCTTCGAAATATATCTGCAAATTCTGCACTCAAACCCCCAATACCCAGAGACTGAAGGTTGAACTCCTTCTGCTTAAAAATGTTGCTTGTGGCAGCCTCACGCTGATTGACAATCTGCAGAGAGAACATTCATAAATAAATTTGTCCCAGCAAAACTAACCAGAAACAATTCATTCCAGTACACAGTAGGGTGCCGTTACGATGTTATCAACTTATTAACACATCATTATCTTGATAAGTAGTGGCTAGTACCTTACTTGGATCACAAGTTCGACCAAAACAACATAAGTTAATGAAGAGGGACTATTCAGATCTTCAACACTTTCACCAAGTATTTTTAAGCAGTGCAGATAATCATGTTCTTCAAACAAGAAAGAGCACAGACAATAACAGTCAATACTGAATTACTGAACCTAACTTTCTCATTGACATGCAGAAAATGTGAACATTATGCATTTTGCATGACTATTCTGTTGTCAAGGATAGCCAAACATTCAACTGAGAGGGAAACTATCAATCAAAGGAGAGGATCACCTTTATTCCACTATCACGTGATGTTTCAAATACAATGTATGTGTCATCCAATAGCATCCCTCTTTCAAGAGAATTAGATTTTTCTTGACCCTCAACAGCAGCTTGATTGACTGTGAAACTATAATTATTTCCATGATACTCAAACAACACTTTCTGCCCCACAGTCATGACCTGCATAAAAGTAGATCTGCGTTTAAAGACTGCTACATCTGATATAGAACTGTTTTTTTTTTTAATTAAAAAAAGTACACAAACTGCGTCAAAAGATGGACTCAGAACATAGAATGCACCCAAACTTTCTGAGATTTCAGAAAGGAATTTGAAGAGGTGTAAAAGAAGAGAGCGGAGGTTTACAACAGAATAACATATATGAGACACCAAAACAAGATCATGGCCAAATAAACTAATGAACGGCACAGTCCTTAACTTGCAGTCCATCTCAGGTGGTTTCAATTTTATGTGTTACCACTTTGCCAACGCCTACTTTGCTTACCTATAATCCAATTACATGCATATATTGTTCAATACTAGTCTGAATACAACGATACCTTTGCCCCCCACCCTCCTTTGGAAAGGGTTACCAGAAAAGGAAAGCCTCTAGATGCATTTTCATTAGGGCCAGAGTAGCCTTAGACACTGAGGAGACGAATCATATCTTACTTGTTGGTTAAGAGGAACTATACAAGTGAGATCAATATCAAATCTTACCCAAAAATGAAGGCGTCAGGCTTATAGGTCCTTTTCACCCATACATCATTCCTCTGGCCCAATTTTATCCAATATAGGATTTCTCCACATCTCAGTCATACCTGACTCTAACAATCTTCACATGACTACGTCTAACCATTGAGCCCTATACTCTAGTGGGTAAAGGGAGCTTTCATCCACCACAGCCACCACCTCCATGCTTTTGCTTTTCGGTTAAATCATCGATTCTGAAATTATTGGTAGGGCTCAAAGAAACCTCAGACATCATAAAAGTTCATTGAGAATCTTTTGTTGGACCTTGAGAGAAAATTATATGAATGGAATCCACCCTACTTTTTGACCTAAAACCTTAACAGTATAAAGTCTGTAAGTACTTTCAACTTATATACCCCTTCTTTAGTCCAATTTCATTAACTTGAGACTCACGCTTGAACTCAATGAGTTTCAGAACTAAGACACAAAATGACAATAAAAACCCAAACAGCAAGGTTCCATATTCAGGGCTGCAGTTTTGTTACATAAATAACATGATCTTTTAGGAGCAATATGTTCACTAAAGTGTCATTTCTGATTAGTGATTAACAAATGCTCATGCAAATAATAACCGAAAAGCTAGTAACAACCAGATGGTATTTTCCCTTGGGCCCCATATATGCTGTGTGTCAGTGACTAATCAAGACAAGGAAATCTGGAAGTTCTCAGAGTAGTGAGATAATCATCTAGCGACCATAGATCAGAATGACAGCCAGAAACATTATAACAAGCAATTTGCTCGTCAAGAAAACCATAAATGACAGCTGATAAAACACCAAAGTTAGCCAATTAATGGACACAAGTGATTCACCGAAAAACCCCACCTGGTTTACAAATCTCTTTTTGAGCTGCTTACCCAGCTGAACTGCATCAATCTACAAAGCAGAGCATAGTTTCAGTCCTAAGGCACTCTGGTTGGGAAAACTTTATGAGAAACTAACGAATATCAGTGCCTTCCATAATTTTCAAATATACCCACCTGTTCACTTTTACTTCCCTTTTTGATGAAGTCCAACTCAAGGGTCAACATTGCTAGGTTGAAATTGTCAGGTGGAACAAATCTAAAACAACAAATATAGATAAGAAGAAACCAGCATAGCTAAACATAAAACAAAATAAATGCTGAACTAACTAACAAACCTGCTCACAGGTATCGACTCAGCAGCAGAAACTTTGGCACACCGACGCTGAATCGAATTTAGTGCAATATGGCCGCTGCTAATGTTTCCGTGAGAAGTGCGTCTCAGTTAAGGCAACAGAAGTAAGATAGCATTTTTCTTTTAACCAACAGAAAGCACGATGGCGTTGAATTCTAAGAATCCATTCACAGCAAAATCAACAAAGTGCCCATCTATGCTCTCAAATTAGTATTTACATCACAGAAATGAGACAAAACATAATTGTTCAGGAAAAGTCAGGCAAGCAATCAAAATAAAAAGAGGGCAAAAAAACGACGTGTTCTACAAATTCGAAAAGGATATGCAAGAGAGAAGACGAAGGAGTCCCCGATCAGAGCGAGGAAGATGTTTTTGAAGCCCGGAACAGCGAAGTTCTGAAGATCAGAGGGTGAGCAGAAGGCCAGATTGGTAAGAGCGAGGTCCTGCGACGGCGTGTTCGTGACGATCATGGGTGTCTGGGCGGACCCGAACCAACTCGCCATTTTCCCGATCGTCGGTGAGATCTATGGAGTGCTGCTAATCTAGGACGAACAAAAGAGTAATGGTAATGCGAACTGAGAATGAGGAGGATCAGCGCGGGAGAGATATACCAAACGGAAATGTGCGACGAACTCCCGGCAAGGAAAGTATTTCTAAAAAAATGGGAATTACATTTATTTCCAGCTTTATTTATAGTAAAGTTGGTTGTAATATTTAGTTCCAAATCAAATTAATATTAGTAGTCTGTCATGATTTCAAAATAAATAAATTATTAGATTTATTTTGCACTATTTGTACCATAATTAAGTTAATTTCCCAGTTATATGTCGTTGATAATCAACACAGGGACTTACATGGCAACGTATATATTGCTAATCTTGTCCTTGATTATGGGGGTTTAATATTGAACAACATGACAAAATAATGGATCATGCCATTGAATATAGGTTTTCACAGTTTAAGATAAGATAATGAGAAAAGTAATCCTTTTGATTGTTAGATTGTTTTTGATACCATCTCTGGTTTTTTTTTTTATAATTTAAATTACATTACAAATTAGACAACACAATTACATATCACTCTTTTTTTTTTTTGGTAAGTATTAGTATAAGAATTCTCTTATTAGAGATAATTCTATTCGAGATACTGTCACATAATGTGAGTATTTTTTTTAGCAAAAATTCAAACTGTAATTCACCGTATTGTGAGACATTAGTCTCTTCTGCCACTAGACCCAGCCTGTTGCTCACATTACATTTTTTTTTTTAATTAGGCTACTACATATTACTCCCTTTTACATCAATACGAGTTACGAACTGAGGTTACTTTTGTTTCGGAAAATGCGAATTGGGGTTACTTGAATGATTGTCTGGGATAAAAAACAGTTGGGCCATCATTTTTTAGGCTATCTGTCCTCCCTTCTTACCATGTCATCGGCCTACGGACGAGTTGGTCCGTCAAAAGCCCATCAGGCCCACGATCCACGTCAGCTTCATTTGGAAAAGTTATTGTTTGGGACTCAAGTCTGTGATGTGCTTAGAATATTTCAGGCAACTCTGGTCAGATGCATTTTCATGATGGGTCGTTCTAGTAACAGGCCACTTCCTATAGTCATTAGTCTGAGAATTTGATTAGGGTTGATAAAGAGTATTTTAATTTCAATTAAATTATTGCTGAAATAATCAGTTAAATAATATTTCCGCTGCCATTGCCTCTTCTCGCGAGTGATGATGTTAGGTTTTTATGTCTTAAGCATAACATTATTTATATAAAATTTATAAATCATTCATAGATGATCATCAATACAACTTATTTTGCAAAATAATGACCTAATCTTAAATTTAGAATTAGAGGCCATGTAGCATTGGTCCTTTAACCTGAATGTAGTGTTGATGTTCACCCTCCCCATCAGAGAAGAGATTTGGTATTGAGGAGTGAGTCACAAATTTATTTTTATAAAAATTAATAATTTTTTTAATGGTTAATATTTTTTAGTTGAAATTTGGTCCCTGCTCAATAATTTTACAAACATGTTTGAAAGCTGTTACATAAAATATGTTTGGGTTAAGGTATGCCCAACAGCTCAAACTATTTTCCCAAATACGCCCAGTGTCCTAAAATAATTTTTAGTACATCCAGTGTCCCAAACTAATTAAAATGGTACGTCCATATCACAGGCTAACAGAAAAGTTAAGTTTGACTATTACCTTGTTGACTCAGCTGAAAGTTGACCAAAAAATCCTACATGACAGACACGCAAGGGTCGGATGTGTATTATTTTGACTGAAAATTCAATTTATTTTCTCATTTTCTAACGTTTATCTTCTGTCAGTTTTTAAACTTAACAAAAAAGAAGGATCACCGATCCACCTTCTTAAATCCTAGTATATGTACCACTCATTTAGTCCTATCCTCCTCGTTAACATGTTATCTCATTTCTTCCACCACTTCGATTTGAAACTACAACCGCCGTCACAACACACTTCCGTCTCTGTCTCTGTCTCTGTCAACTCCTCGTCCAACTTGCATTTGCTTTTCTCTTTGTAGAACACAGTAAACTTCCCCTTGGTCACCCTGTCGATGTCACTATCGCCTCCCAAGAAAACACCAGCCGCCACCAGGCTTGTCTCGGGAGCTTTAGTCAAGATAATACACATCATATGCTTGCTTGTTCGCCGTGTAAGATTTTTCGGTCAACCTTCAACTGAATCAGCAAAGTAACGATCAAACTTAACTTTTTTGTTAACCTGGGATATAGACACACCGTTTTAATTAGTTCGGAACACTGAATGTACTAAAAATTACTTTAGGACACTTGGCGTACCTGAAAAAATAGTTCAGGGTGCTGAGCACACCTTAACCTATCAAAATAATACATATTAGATGCCTGTGTGTCTGCCATGTAGGATTTTTCGGTCAATCTTCGGTTGAGTCAGTAAGGTAACGGTCAAACTTAACTTTTCTATTAGCTCGAGATATGGATGCACTGTTTTAATTAGTTTGAGACACTGGATACATCAAAAATTACCTTAAGATACTGAATATATCTGAGAAAATAGTTCAGGATGCTGGACGCATCTCAACCCAATATGTTTTTGGTGCTTTTTTTAATGTTTTTTTTTTTTTTGAAGGACTGAGCGTTTACTCACCAATAATGAAGTGACGACCGACTCAAAAACCCCATAAACCTAGACGAGCTTCGAACGCGTACATGGCGAATAGGCGGTGTCTGCAAGCTTTAACGCGCCAGGCATCTGCATTTCTCTCTACAAATCCATCTCTGCAGTCGCTCACTATCCCGGCCACCCTGCCAAACCCACCTCTGAACACCCTCACTTCAAGCTTCTTTGACATCCTCACCGATACCAGACCCAATAGCAGGTGTGGGCAACGGTCCCACTCCTGCTATTTCTCTTCCAGTACACAAGATCATGACAGCAACAAAGGTATAGAAGCCGAAGACGATAGTGATGGAGATGAAGAAGCAGAAGAGTGGGAGAGCAGCGATGATGAGGATGTCCTGGAGTCGAGTGGGGCTACTGGGAATAGAGAGTATACGGCAGAAGAAAAGGAAGCAGAGGCAGAAGCAATTGGGTACAAAGTGATAGGACCTCTTGGCAAGAATGAACAGGTTTTCAAGCCATACGAGCCAGTCTTCGCTGTTGTTCAGGTCAAATTTTCAATCTGGGCTTGCTAGTTCTGATTGAATGAGAAGCTTAGGTTATTTATATGTGTGTGCTTCGTTCTTTTTTTAACCTATCCATTTATTTGCCGGAGTTCAGATCGGATCACACCAGTTTAAAGTAAGCAACGGCGATAGCATTTTTACTGAAAGACTGAAATTTTGCGAAGTGAATGATAAGGTAGGACACCTTACTCTTGCATTTATAAATACTAACACTTGTTGAGATTGCGCTGCAGTTTTTTTGGTGATTTGCAAAAGGCACTCATCCTGTGGTGTTTATGTTTTTGTTTTTTTTTGGTATTCTTATATTTCTATTTGTTAAACTTCCGTTTGCAGGGTCACGTGACTAGTCTTTCAATTTTACTGAGCATCCGCATTGCTTTAATTTCATTGTGCCATCACTTTGTATGACCCATTGATATATGGACCATAAGGAATGACATAATTGCTTCTGTTCCATGAGGTTGGCACGGTGACATGCCAGTCCTGCTTCATGTTCGGTTCTTTTGGGCTGATAGGGCGGTGTTTAGTTTGAAATGAGATTGTTAAAGTGATGTTGGCCTATTGCTTTTTCACCCTGCTTGTTTGAGACACAAGTCCTCTTCAATTAGCATAGGGAATACAATACATCACGTGCCAAGACAGGATACACAAATAAGAAGTTAGAAATCTCTTGACATTGCTTGTGGTGCCTTAACTCTTCCTCTTTTCAGTTTGGGAAGTGCATTGGTAATCTATGCGCATGTGCCATTCTTTCTGTAAATGATTTTTTTTCTTTAATAGAATTGTTTAAGAAAAATTGTTTTGTTGAGTTTACGTTAGAGCATATAGACTGATGTTTCTGCAAAATTCCAAGATCCATATAACTATGTACCATAAGATAGAGTCAGTTTTTGAACCGTTTATATGCCAAAACTGGGGCTGGACCAGGTACCTAATTTTCATCAAAGTCATTTTTCATCTTCATTTCCCAATTTTTTTCCCTTAACTTCTGCTTCCTCCCTTTATTTTATCTTGTAGTATTCTCTCACCATTGGAGACATCGTATCAAATGTCTTATTTCTTCTTTTCTCTCTCAATCTTCCTAATTTTTATTATGGATCACCTAACATTAATGATATTATTAATGGGTGGGTGAAACACATATTTTGGTCAAACTAAGTATTTGGTATCCATAATTTTTATTGGTTTGCCGAATTCAACTTGTATTGTCTCAAACATTTGTGAAATTACCTTGCTGAAGTAGGCTTGGAGATAAACAGGGTGGATCTATCATGTAGAAGCTGAGGCTAGCAATGTGCTTATAATAGGAGTTGCTGAAAATAAGCTTTAGATCAATGCATTGGAAGCAGAAGTTTAATGAGTTGCTAATGAGCACTTCGTTAGAAGTTAGGTTGCCCCAAATAAAAAGTTTCATGATTGGGAGGAGAGCTTTGCCATAGACATTGTAAAAGTGTCAATTTAATGTGCTGGGTAGAACTGTGGAAGTGATATGCACTAATGTGGTGAAGTAAAACGAGCACACTAGCATTTGGATGGATGATGATAGTGTTATAAATAGACGCTGTTATATTAATCAATGAGTGTCTAATCTTATTCCGGTAAGTACGTCTCGAAATCATTTAGCTCAAATTATTTTTATTCAGCCATACCATCCCTGCCACTTATTCTAGTTTTAGAGTGGAATAACTATATGCCTGTGTATAAATATTTTAGTTATCTTATTAATCAATATCCAGTTTGCTGTTGGTAAAAAAATATCCAGTTTGCTGATGTAGTCACTTTTTGATGTCCCCATGTTATGGAATTTTTAATACCACTTAATAAATATTTGGTTGGCAATACTGAAAGTGTGATCTTCGTTTTTGGTATTTTGCAGTTGATTCTTGATAAAGTTCTGTTGCTTGGCTCTCAAAGTCAGACAATTGTTGGCAGACCCATCCTGCCAGATGCAGCAGTTCATGCTGTTGTTGAGGAGCATGTAAGTGTGGAACTCCGCATTTCAATTAAATTTGGGCAAGTTTGGTATGCAGAATCAATTTTCATGGATGAGGATGGGAATGGGCATGAAATTGATTTTGAATAGACTGATATCTTTGTTCCATTTGTTGGTGTTATCTGTATTCCAATTGAATTTCGTCCATTCCAGATTGATACTTGAAACCTTGATGAAATGGAACTAAACAACGTATGCGAATATGAGCTAAGTGGATCCAAAATTTTTGCTCAACAGATACCTTGCTTATTTTCTTTTATTTGATTCGATTCAGGCATTAGATGCAAAGGTGATTATTTTTAAGAAAAAGAGAAGAAAGAATTACCGTAGGACCAAAGGACATCGCCAGGTACATTGAAAAGAAACTCTTCAATCAATTAATTTTGTCACAAATTGTGGGTGTTAAACCTGTCTGGTATTATTGTCTTCAGGAATTGACGAAGTTAAGGATAACTGATATTCAAGGAATTGAGAAACCTGAAAAAATTGTGGCTGAAGTGCCTTCAAAAGCTGCTAAGAAGAAACAGGAAAAGGTTGCAGTTCCTGCTTAAGGAAGGTTTACTCAGTTGCTTTTGAGGCAACCCAGAAATCTCAACGAGTTTTGACAGTGTGATGCAATTTATTGAGCATAAATGTATTTTGGATAAGCTCCATTTACACCTCAAAAGTTACTTTAGACGGAAATTCTGAGCATCCATTCTGCAGGCAGGTTTTATGGGTTTGTTTCAACAGAATTTTCTCCCTACAATGTTATATTTTAGTTCTATGTGTGAACACTATTGATTCTTAGACCGGATTTGTGGTCTATAGAAATCTCATGTTAACTCCTATATTTTACGGTTGATTTAGTCATGATACTATGTGTCGTGCATGTACTGACAGTCACCTTTAGAAATAAACTGTCCATATTTCGTCTTCCATCTCTCATACAGGGCAGAAAGAAAACTGTATTGAGAAAACCCTGAGATGCATTGTGGTGTTTACATGGTAAGCAATGTCTTGATCCATACTGGTCAAATTATTCTTTGTTTTGTGTGCCTAGAGAGCTTGGTAAGTAGAATAGAATGAAACAGAATGGAAGAACATTTAAGTTGGAAGAAAAATGTTGTAAATGAGAAAGGTCTCTTGTGCCCTTGTATGGAAAATAATAAATGAAATATTATCTGTTATGTTTATAGAGATATGCTTTCTCCAGTCGTTAAAATAAAATCTAATTTGTAATTTAATTTGAAGTAGAAATTGGATTTTATATTAAGAATAAGAAATAATAAATATTCCGTAGCACAATTTTGATGCAATGATAAGCTAATCCCTTTTATTTGGCCATCTGAAACACCGCTTTTGTGCTCGTGTGTTTTAATCCTTTTGCTCAGTGGACTAAAAAGCGTTGATTTTCGTTTTTTTTTTTTTAAATACATCTCGAAAAGTATTTAAATGCTGTGCCTGAGATGGTTACCTTAACTAATCCCCTTCCTGAGGATTTTGATATGAAATGCTTAATGGTTGTAGTCGAAAGATTTCTGATGGGCATTTTTTTCCGACTGCAAAGCTTCCCATGCTTGTAAGATTCCAATGAGACTTTTTTTTTTTTGGGGGTGAAAGATTCCATATGAGACATTGAGAATACAAGGAATTTTGCAAATATGAAGTCTTTTTTTTTTTTGCCTCTATACGTACCGTCATGTTATCTTCATGTGAAGTTTTTATGCCCTTTGTTGGTGAGAGAAAGGGAGAAGAGACGTAGAGTGGGTAGGATCCGCTCATTCTTCGTAACCACACGATTTGCCTCTCACCAAAATTTAGTCCAATGTGTTTCTGTAAAGTTTTTAGATGTTTAGCTGCCATCTAGAAATCCAGATACGTCCTTCCTTCCACTCTCTGCATTGAGCGGAAGGCTAGAGCTCATGATTTATGGATACAATTGGTAGCCAGGGAATTACGCGGGATCGCATCTGACTTGGCCTAATTTTGATTTCGCCGATCCCTGTTCATTAACTATCTATCAAATAACTAATAGGGGTTGGGTTTAGTAAAAAAAATTAGTCCTTCATAATATAATGAACTAAGATTTAAATCCCAAAAGTATTTATACTTAGTGACTTGACGAGGATACCCATGGATATTAAAAGCTAAAAAACTGTCTCTATTGGTGAAATCATTGACATGGGCCGAGTGATGTGGTAAGTTAGCCTCTATTCCTCCTACCCCCAAAAAAAATCAATAATAATTTTCTTGTTGAAAACTTCTTTCAGCTTTAATATCCTTCTTATTTTAAAATTTTTTGTGACATTGGAAACCTTTTTTAAACTCTTTCGTTCTGTTTTGATATTTTGCTTCGCTTTCAGAGTTGATTATGTCCATACTTCCCCTTTTGGCTTTTGCTGTTGTCTCCTGCGCTTTGAAATCTTCTCTCTCTTTTGGATGTAGCAGAATCTTCCTTCTCCTATTTTCTCATTTTTTTTAAAATGTTTTAACTTGTTAAAAAATTCCATAATATCAGATTCAGGCCATTCTTTGGTATTATATCCTTTTCTTTTTTTGGGTAAAACACAAAAAATGACAGGAAGGAGAGACATCCTCAATGTTATCCGGTAAGGTGCGATTGACATGCTAAGAGTATCAGCACAAATTTAAGATCCTCTTTGAAAGCGATACCCACCGAATTCGACGTCGAATAGTTTCAGTGGGAATCAGATTCATGCTTATAGATAAGACGAGAATTCTGCTTTAAACTCTTGACCATTTATTATCCCAACCCCATCTTGGCCTATTGTTATTATTTTTATTACTATTCTAAATATTGTGACTTGTTCTGTTTTATGGATTACTTGGATTATTAACATATCACCTCAATGATTTACTTTTTGATTAAATCGAATTTATTGCTGGTATAAGGTTATATAAGATAGTAAACTCATGCTTCAACATTCATATGGATAAGCATGAGAAGCCAGCTTATTCCATATCCTTTCTGGTTAAGGCATCTGGCTGCCTAAGATACTAAGCTATTATGGATTGAAAAGAATAAAACAGCTAAAGAAAACAAGTCTTCCAGAATACTCAAAGGCTATTGTGAAGCTGCAAGATTACTCTGTTTTAAGATGCTGTTCATGAATTTGAGAGTCCTGATTCCTGAAAAATCTCTTTCCTTGAAGGCCACCTCCTTTATCCATATTTCAAGATCAGACTTTTCTTGACATGTCACTATCTATCACATGTTTTTATATGCAATTTTAGGCACTGTCTAGATGGGGACAATGACTGAGCTTCAAAAGCATCAGGCAATGCCTATCCATTACTCATTTCCCTCCTGTACTTTGATTGATTATTGCAGGGTGGTGCAAAAGGGGGAAGAGTCAACTAGAATCACCATCGTTGACTCAGGTACTTGATTAAGATGAACATTCCTTTGCCTGCAGCCATAAGCTCCCTCCATTTGGCCCTTCTCTTCCTTACCACTATCTCATTGGCTTGACCCCACAAACCCATATTGTCTCAAGCCTTTTTTCCATCCATCAAAGTTATGCTTTTGCTAGAAATCTTACTTCAGAATCATGAGTATGCTTTGTATATATGGTCCCCCTCTTTGGTTCAGTGCTTCAACTGCTGAATTACTTTGTTTCAAAAGTATATAATATGTATTTAATACCATCGGCTATTTTAGGTTCAGACATTATTGAGCTCTAAATGAAGGGCAGCTTTCCTAAAATAATAACCATCCCTCCCCCCCAAAAAAAAAATTAGACTCTGTTTAAAGAGTATCGGATTCTCTCCATAAAATCTAACTATTGTTGACAACTATTAAAGCATTTATAAGCTTTTATAATGACTATAAATGAAAAAAATAGGTGAAAGTTGTCAAGAAAATACTCGGATAAGGTTTGGGAAACACTTTAATTTCTTCAAAGTAATAACATCGAGCATTACCCAAACTTATCCGGACCTAGTCTAAAGTTGCCTGCGTTTTATAAATAGCTAGATCTTTGTCTTGCAAGATAGTCCTTGTTTACAAAACTTGCTACCCTTTCTCATATTCCAACTCAAGGCTGATTTTTCTGAGTTGTGAGCCTATAAGTTTTTTCTTTCCCAAATTAAATGTTGTGGTGAAGTAGTACTTGTGTCAGTTTGTGCTTAACTATCGTTGTGTATCTGTGCTTACACACATCATCATCATCAGCAGCAGCAGCTTTATGGATTTGTGATCTTTGTGGGCAAAGGCAAACTGTGCTATTTTTTTGGGGGGGGGGGGGATGTGTAAATCATTGTGAGGGTAAAGATATCTCCTTCTAAGAAACAGAGTGGTTGTGAGTGGAGGGTTCACTTTATTAGTCACCTATCAATCTCCCTCTAGACTATACCCAATGACTTGGCACATTATGAAGCACTTTCCAATTTCCATTCTCCCACTTTCCTTTAAAATATGATTATGCTTTTGTGATTGCTTGTTGCTACAGTTCCTCCACTTTCCCTCTCTCCCACCACCCCCACTTTTTTTTTTCTTTTAAAATAAACACATTTTGATTTGCCGTTATGTGTATTCACTAGTATTATAATTATGGTAACCACAGAGTGATTGTGATGAATTTGCTATTTTATGTGACCATTATTCTGTTTCACTGTGTAGTGTGAACAACCTATCTTTGTGTGTGTGTGTTTGTGTTTTTTTTTTTTTTTTACTTTGTTTTTTAAGGAGCATGGTGGGTTTTGATTAGACTTTTTGCCACTCGTGAAATATTCTGATCATATCTAATTCGGCCTAACTGGCCACTAACAAGGAATTTCTTTTTGATCATGGAAGAAAGAGAAGCAACCTTTTGTGCGACCAAGTCAGGACGCGTGGCTTCATGGATTGATACAACCTGTGATTAACATAATAGAAATTCATAAATTACCAAAAAAGAAATTGACCTTAACATGGGAATATTTATATTGAATTGTTAAGGAGTTAAAATTATTTCTTAAGGATCTAAGAATTAAAAATATAAATTGCCAAAAAATTTACTTATCAAAATTCTTGGTCTTAAAGTCTTTTTTAACTTTCAATGTTATAATAGGCTTATTTAGAATAGTTTATAAGTAACTTTTTAATAGTAATTTACAGAATACAAGATAAATATGTGAGAGAAGTTTTATTTCGATTTATGTGAAATGTGTTTGTAAGTGATTTCAATCGTGATAGTAAATAGGGCCAATACTATATGAAAAGGTGGTGTACTTAGATAATGTCCGTTGATTCAAAGACATTACGTCTTATGGTCCCACTTAATATAATTAATGAGTTTTATTCTAATTATATTCAGCACATGATACACTGTTAAAAAAAAAAAAGAGTTGTTACTACAACACCGTGAGCCTATAAAATTTTTTCCCCAAATATCTAATTACATTGCATGGATGGGCGGCTTAAATAAATATTAATATCAATGTCAATATTTATTAATTAATTTGAAAAGCTACGAATGTGCAGAAAAGTTGGAAGAAAAAAACCAACGGAGGTGATTATTGAGAAATGCATTTGCAAAATTCCACTTTGTGAATATATTCCTTTATAAGCACTATCATACTAGTGGCTCTGAAGCGCACTGGCCATCATTATTTTATTATTAGTGCCATTCCTGTTACATATATGCATAGGCCTGCCCTTGTGCTTTATACCTTAATAAATAAATTAAAAAAATCCATTATAATGCCATATATTCAATATATTTTAATTTCCCCCTCCCATTTACAAGTCAGAGTGGATTTGCTCATAGGTTTCTTAAAGAAAATCCAGACATTTAAGCATAATTTCAATTTTTTTAAATTTTTTTACACAAAATTATTGTAAGTAAATACTTTTTCTTGATTCAAGTCTAGATTGATTATTTAATTTTTATGTATTATATTTCTATTCGAAACTCTTGTGGTTACATATCTTTGCAAATCTTTACATAACAACAGAAATCAGATGAACATTGGATAACTAAATTACATATTTGAGTTTTAAAAACCTACCAAAGATCTTAAAAATCTAAAACTTGAAAATATCCTAAATATTTTAGGGATAGAAAATTTATTTTAAGTCGCGAATTCATTCTTCTTTAATATGTATATAAATGATGATACAATTTTT